TCATATTGATTTATTTTTTTATGCAACTTGAATGGTAATTAAGCTGGCGGCCCCCTAAATGATAGAAAGTGGTAACCGTCGGCAATAAATACGAGTATGAATAGTACTGTCATGTCATCATAGTAACTCTAGTGCGTTGTTATTATTTTGACAACTAATGTTATACCATTAGAATAAGCTCTAGAACTCAGATTGTTTATTTTTATGGTTATGCTTTTCTATGCTGTAATTTTATTACCTTATCCCACTCTAAAGACGTTTAAAAATCGGAATGCAGCCATGCAAAATGCACAACTACAACATGCAACAGCTGCTGAAGCAAAAGCAAAAATAAAGCAGAAAAGAGTTATTCGTTATAAAGTGTTCGAAGACAACTTTCCAAAAGTACAGTAGAGTCACAGAAAATGACGATCAAAAAAGAACAGCTTTTATATAAGCATACTTAAGTTTATTTTGACTTTAACTTTGAACGATCAAAATGATGTCATTTTAATATTATTTATTCGCTTCGTTATGTTGTTATTTCGTTCGGCTTCGAAGTTTCGGAAAAACTTTGAAAGTCGGTAGGAGATGAGAGAAAGAGCGGACGCGGTGCTTCTCGCCTAGGCGAGGGATAGCGCGCATCTCGCATCTATAAAGCTGTAAAGAGGGGCCATCAGTGTTTGCTTGCTACGACTCGTACGCGCTACCGTTGCCGCTGACTACAGCCAGCACGGGACAAACTGCACCAGCAGTCGAGTGTGTAACAAATATTTGTACGAGTACTTACTCTAAGTGATTTCAGGCAAGCATTACTTTAACTCGGGATTGCTGCTAACGTGTCAATATAGAAATCACTCCTGATAACACATCCGTCTACAGCTGACAATAGTGTAAATGATGAAGATACTTCACACTGGATGGTAAAGGGTAGCCAAAGAAAGGGTGCAAGAGTTCGAGTTATCGTCAGATAGATATTGGATACCTAAAGGTACGAATAAATTCAATATGACAGTGAAATTACAAGATACAGATTACTTAGTACTAAGGAGTGGCTACTTATAGGAGTCACAGTGTTATACTGTGATGTCTATAACGCATTTGAAACATATAATAAACAATAAGCCATGGATATCACATTTCATCAGGTGTGCCGTCAGCGTATGTAATTAATAAATTATCTCTGTCTCCTACATCATTACCATCAGTGTACTGCAATCCGCTGCTAGACATAGGCCTTTCCTAAACTGTACCACTTTATGCAGTCCTGTGCTTTGCGCATCAAATCCACCCTGCAATTTTGCAGAAATCCATGATGTTACAAACATCCATATCCTATGGCAATCCCGTTTACCATCAGACGGACCGTATGCTTGTTTGCCATCATAGTAGTATAAAAAAATCATCACGTCATTTTGCCAGGGGGCACCCTTAACGTGGGGGGGAAAGGGATTGTTAATAATGAGATCTAACAGTTCCATTGCTAGCAATGTACCCTATCAGGTCGACCTCCACGCGGTTTCCCCTGGAAACCATCGTGGTTAATTCTTACGGAATTCTTCACGTTGGGCTAATTGACCTACTTTCACCCTCATCTATCACCTCTCACTGGTGCCCCGGCAGCGTATACCGATGGCGCGGGCGCAGTTACCATTCCATTTTCATCTATTAAAAAACTATAGATACTAGTTCTTTGATACGAATGATGAAATGATATAGAATGAATTTATGAAGCCAATATAACATACAGTATAATGTATTGTTACAGAGTGTAAGGGTGCCATATTGGCCGGTGGCCGGCCTGTACACACTCCGTAGGCCCGACGTCACTGTCGGGAGCGACAAGCAATTACCGCCACACACGCTAACGGCGAAAACACGTCTCCAATTATATCAGCACAATGGGCAATTACAGGAATTTTGCTCCTTCAAAATGCCATCCGCTGATATAATGGACATTTTAACACAACGATAATAGTAATTTATCATAATATTTTGTTATAAATGTGGATTATAAATGTGCAAGTGGGTTGGCTACCTCTTGGCGTCCAACCAATAGTCATTTAGTACATTAGCTGAGCGGCAAGAGGTAACTATCCAACTAGTATTTGGCTTCGAGATGGACACAGAACTACTTTGGGAAATGACATAGGTAGGTATTTTGATGTAGTTCAGTTGTTTATCAAAGTTCTTAGGGGATGATTTTAAAACCGTAACACGTATATTTTGAAGTTAGCAATCTGACAGGCAAAAGTTTACTCAGCAGAAAAACAACTCTTTTATTTTATTTTTTTTATACGACTTAGAATGGCAAACAAGCGGACGGCCCACCTGATGGAAAGTGGCAACCATTGCCTAAAACATGAGCAGTACCATGGACATAACAGGGTATACCGTTTTGCCCATTATACCCCCCATGCGTTGCCATTCCTGAGGACTCTGGTGTTATTCCTCTGTACCCTGTAAATTCACGTCATATCCTACCCTTCAAACCGAAATACAGCCATGCAAACACAACTGCTTCACGGTAGAAACACGAATGGGACAGAGGTACCCAAGCATTCGACTTTTCTGCAAAGTCTCCCTCTGGTAAATATTTATTAGTCACAGAATTAATGAGACTAGTAAAGGAATAGGAATAAATCCTATTTACAAATAATTATTAAAATAGGTTCAGAATTAATGGAAATATCATTAATTACACGCACAAAATACTACGAGACGAATAGAGAATTTTTACAAGTAACTTACAAATTCAGTGATATTAACGGCATGGTGGGTCGAGCCGTTGGGTTCCCTGGGATATGGTTGAACACAACGAGGGCTGACTCATCCGTGATACCCGTGAACAGTCAGAACAGTAGACGTACATTGAACTCTTATTTGAAAAAAAGCAACAGCTGTGTTTCTTGCCCATTCCTCCCAGCTAAATTTGCTGCAGTTTTGCTTTTGTTGATGTTTTTATTGGGATTTGGTGGGATTCTGCTGCCTATACCTCCACCATAAGCTCCTTTAGTTGCTTCTTACGACAACCACGGGAAAGGAAGCGGTAGCCTGTTCTATGCCGGGACCTACTGCTGACATAGCCTTACTTGTAGTGTGTTAATTTGTAAAAATTTCAGAATATGACAAGTTACAAACGAGGTTCTTCGTAAAAAGGCAAAAATGTGCCCGAGTTGGAGTGGCTATGGCGGGGCGGGGCGGGGCGGGGGCAGGTGCTCCCGCCCCGCCCGCCGCGCCGCCGCTGCCGCCCGACCGACAAACGACTTGTAAGCAATTAATTATTTACGCCGTTTGTACTCGAGTACTCTTCCGAATCAGAAATTAACATTTGCAACTCGTTTATTATTACAGTACAGAGATTTATTTGATTGAACTTACAACGTTAAAGTTTAATTCTACTTTTATAATTTAGGTATCAAATTTGTAAATAAATCACTACAATAATATTAATACTTATTTATTTAATAATTATTAAATATACTGCCGTATATTCGCAATAAAGTATATATATATATATATATATATATATATATATATATATATATATATATATATATATATATATATACATGTATTTATTTATAATTTTATTAAAACCCATATTACGTGTTATAATCTAAGATCTATATTAAAAGTGAATGTACGAAAGTATATAAATAAAGTATACCAATAAATTTTGATCTGGCAGCCTGATATATGATAGTTGCAAAATACTATGGAATAGAAACCAGGAAAACGGCACTCGTTCACGAGTATGACAGATGAGCCAGCCATTATTGCCTCTAACCATATTTCACGGAGTTTAACAACCCATTACTGTTTATATTATTGCAGCACGAATTGCTATCGTTCCTATGAGTCGGTGATCCTATTTTTTTTATATTTTTTTTTATTAATTCGACTGTATACTGTTATTTAATACAATTTCAGGATTTATTTCACGATTTCACAATTTGTTGACTATAAAGATGTCGCGTGAAACGTTTTGAATATGAAGAAAGTCCATCGAATAACGCATCATGATGGAACGTCACTTATCCAGATGGTTGCGATGGAACTTTAGTTTGTGGCGGGTTTTAAGATGGTGATAATCAACAGCGGGTATCGATCTGAACAATTATTCAGAACACTCATCATGATACGAGTATATTCGGTAAAAGATGCATAGAAATGCAACATCGCTAAGCAGTTTCTGTTAGATCGAGTCGGATAGTATGACGCTGATCATTAATAATTCGAGCCGCCCGACTTAGAATACGGTCTAACGGAAAGAGCTGGTACTGTGGCGCTCCTGTGAGGTGTAGGTGTAGGTATAGGTATAGGTCATAGGTGAGAACAGTACTCCATATGTGGCCGAACTTGAACTTTATACAATTTCAAGCGGTGTTCCGGTGTGAAATACCGTCACACTCTATTGAACACTCCTAACGTTACAGATGACTGTAAAACTGGACGTCGCTAAATATATCATGCAGATACTTTTTTGTAACTTGTAAAAGCTATATCATAATAAAATATTAGCGTAATGAGTGTTGTAGAAATATCACCTGCTCTTGTACTGTTCAGAAACAACTTAACCGCTTATAGTGCTATTCATCTTTATACGTGAAATTCACCAGAGGCAGACTTTGTACAAAAGTCGATTGCTTGGGTACCTCGGTCCCATTCGTGTTTCAACCGTAAAGCAGTTGTGTTTGCATGGCTGTGTTTCGGTTTGAAGGGTGGGATATGGCGTGAATTTACAGGGTACAGAGGAATAACATCTGAGTACTCAGGAATGGCAACGCATGGGGGGTATCATGGGCGAAACAGTATACTCTGTTATGTCCATGGTATTGTTCATGTCTATAGGCGACGGTTACCACTTCCATCAGGTGGGCATTCTAAGTAGTATAAACAAAAACGTGAAATTACTATTCTCCATCAGGTGGATTGTCAGTATACTTGCCATTGCCACACACAAAAACTAGAAAATAAAACAATTGATCAGGGAGCTAATGCCCCGTAAACAGCGGCGGGATGTTCGCGAATATATCGTTTACAATCAGATGAAATAAAGAATCCGCAAAGAATTGACAAATCTAAAAGATTACGTTTTGCTACCTTTACTTATTGTTTATATGATGTATGTATTTTGATGTCTGATAAATAGTATGTGCTTCTAGCCGATGCGATGTATCAATGTCAATAAACTTGCACACAGTACCAGCATGACGTTATGTTATACTCGTAGATGAGTGTGTGCAGTTGTGGATACATCTTACGATGCCTGTCTGCAATTGTATTACCATTGAAAAAGCATTTTATCAGTGTGTTATGTTCCTAATTTCAGTTTCTCACTCGTATTTCGCTCGATGGGTGTGTAGCATAGTAAAGATTTTATAACTACGTAAATTCGATTTCTCAACTGCTTTAATATACTGTTATACTCGTATTGACTAAATAGCGGCCCGTCCCGGCTTTGCACGGGTGGACATTTTTACATTTTAAAAAGTGGCCATTAAGAATTTCTCCCATTTTGATAACATTTCCCTTCACTGCTCTGCTCCCATTGATCGTAGCGTGATGAAAAGTATACTGTAACCTGCCCAGGAGTACAAAGAATAATTGTACTAAGTTTCGTTAAAATACGTCGAGTAGTTTTCATTTCCATAACGGACATACAGACAGACAGACAGAAATTTTACTGATTGCATTTTTGGCATCAGTATCGATCACTAATCACCCCCTGATAGTTATTTTGGAAATATATTTCATGTACAGAATTGACCTCTACAGATTTATTATAAGTATAGATAAGCATTTTATTTACATAATGTAGTATATGTTTTTTATATAATTTCTGTACTTAACTCATACAATAATAGTACTCGTCTGATCTATTCCTAAAATCGCTGTTCACTTCACCACTGACTGAGAAATAATAACCTCAGGAAGCAAATCCAACCGTATGCTTTTAATGGTTTAAATGAATAATAAATATCATATGCATACCACTATCACTAGCAAGTGCGCGTCGAGTGCCCTCTCGTGTCTATCTTGCAGAGTTAGTTGTTCGAGGGGGCAATAATGGTTTGTGAGGGCCGGTGAATCCTCGATGTGAAGACAAAAGCTTGGTAATTTGAGTCAGGTTATTGTGTACCTCGCCCCGCGCACCCCGTACCCGGCACCCGACACCCGACACCCCGCACCTCGCCACCGCGCACCGCCACGTGCTAAGTTTTTCTTTGTCACATATTTTCAATGTCAATCTGAAAAGACGAAAAAATATAATGTTAAGATATTTTTAAAATAATACAAATTTAATTCTAATTTATGGACGCTCTAACAAACTTTTAATTGTACAGGTAGGAAGATTTTCTTTTGAATCATATTTAGTATATAGAAATTGTATTGTATTGTAAACGAAAAATGAAACTTTTTAAATAACTAACTTAGAGGTTGACCGAGTATCCTTCAATGTTAAGAAATTTAAGAACTTTGAAAAAACTAACTTACTGTCACTTTATAATGTTAGCAATTATTTCTAATAAAAATAATTATGCTCGCTGCAGACACGGTTTACTTGAGTTATTCAAGATAAGAAACCGTGTAGAGTTAGTAGTTAGTTTAATGTGATTATGAAACGTTGAAACTTTCCAAACGATAGGTACTGGTAAGCGCTTATCATTTGCAATATATTTTGCATAAATTTGTTCAGTTCAGTGCTTCCATCAAACTCGAGTAGCGCACGGAGCACTCAGTTAATGTGCGAGCTGATACAGCGCGCGGCGATAAATCGTTTCGACGCCACATCGGAATGTCGCCCGTGTTGTCGAGCGACAAGTCATTTTCCTCCGTAATTGCTTTCCACCTGCAATAATACGAGTGGGTAACGTCATTTTGTCGGCTCGTCACTACGTCACGATGGTAGTGTGTCGCGCGGGCGCATGAGTAAGTATTCCCACAGAACCTAAGCTACATACGAGATGCTCGCTCTAGACACGCTCAAACATTTCACGGTAACGAATGTGTGACTTCTCATACAGACGGGTGTTCAAAAAGACGTCGAATGTATTTCATCTCACCTTATATGTGTGGTCTATATGATGTGATATCGATTTGATTCCAATTGGTTTACGAGAAAGTTTGTTTGTTTGCTGTTAGTTTATGCCAGGTCACTTGTCATACGATCGAGAGGGTTACGAAGCTGTGTACGAATGTTACTACGGCAGGCTGCTTGAATATAGCTTCAATTCTATGGAGATGAGGGATCGGTTTCCTAATAATGAACACGTTAGTCTACATTGCTAGCAATATACCCTGACAGGTCACTTCCACGCGGTTTTCCCTGGAAACCATCGAATTGTCATGTTACCACGATGGGCCAACTAGGCCAATCTTTTCCTCATCATTTGATCCTCTTTTGGTATCGGCTATAGTATATCGTTAGCATAGATTGGCGAATCATTCCACTTTCATTTGACTCTGTGTGGGCACTTATTCATACGACGCGAGTGTCGTGTGGTGTCGCGAGGTGTCGCGAGGTGTCGCGAGGTGTCACGTGTGGTATGGCGCGGCCGTGCGAGGTGCGCCGATGCCTTGCCCGCTCGCTTATCGGCCGTCATTTATCGGCGCTCACATTCGTTTATGTCCCGACGCGTCTGTTCGCAGCCGATAACGTGCCAAATTACCATATTTTTATACATTGAATTTTTTGCGAAACACTCGATTTATCATAAGTGTCTGGGACATAAAACGTCAGATTGGATTTTAAAAAAATCGATTACGGATAATTCGGCAGATAATAACATCGTTCAACGAGTGTATTATTCATTTTAATAGAATCCCGACTATTACTAAAAGTAACGTAGCCGTGCGTGTCCTCGCATAATCGTGTCTCCACCCTTTCCTGTGAATGTCGTAAGGGGCGACTAAGGGAGGGCGAGGGATAGGCAGCAGCGTCCCTCTGAAAACATCTCCAAAGCCTAACTACGGTTGCCAATCTGCCAAGCCAAGCGTGGCAATTACTGACAAAACCCCCCTTCGAGGAGGCTTATGTTCAACAGTCGACAGTTAAAGCTGATATGATGATGATGAAGTAACGAAGGAAATAATTCAAAGCTGCAATGTATTTCTTAAAGATTTTTTTCATTAATTTAGGTATATTTTATTAGTATATCCTCAAGTCTCAGTAGTTGAACCGAACGTCGACCGACGGAAGTTTGAAACCAATAATAAAGTCTGCACACGACTCCCCAAATGTTGATTTAAATTCAATTGACCCTTGAGCTCCACAAGTTAGGCAGCACCTGTACTGGTGGTAGTGTCTATCGCAACTGAATGTTGATATTAGTATTATGTTAATGTACTCGTACTGTAACTGAACTAGCTCGGCGGCTTGGCTACCGATGCCCAACGAAAATCGGAAAAGTAAACACTATAATTTCCAATTAAAAATTATAATTTTCCCCTAAAATAAAGAAAGAAAGAAATTTTATTTAATTAAAATTAACACGTTACGTTTGTTGTAAACGACAGAATAAAATGTTTGTATCAAATTATATCAATGGAATTGAAATGAAGGCCACATTTTACTCAAGGATTTACGCTTATTTTTACTATTTTTTTTTCATTCTTTCTTTTTTTGTTCATTCCTATTATTGCAGTCTCTGTCGTCTCATGTGCAATACCGCTAAAATGATATATTTTGTTATTATTTGTGAGAACTTATTAGTTGCTTAGTTTGTGATTCTGGACTATTTCTATTTGTTTGTTGCAATGTTTTGTAATTGTTTGTATACTTATATTTATTGATTTCATTAACTTTACAATTTTTCGTGATTGCCTGATCAGTAGATGATCATTGTACAATTTTATATTCCTTTTCTTTTATATTAATACCCATCTCATCATATATATACTTTTTATTATAACACATTGTGATTTGTTAATCTTTGTCGGGTGCCCACGATACAGGCTCACTGTATCTTGTATTTGTAACTTCGTGTTTTCATCAAATAATGAAATTTTATTTCTATTAAATTTGTATTATACTAATATAGCCCTGGTTTTCCTGAATAAATAAATAATCATAATTGACCGGAATATAAAGTTGCTTATAGCTTTCCCATATCAAGTAGGTGCTGCGTGTACGCTTTTCGAAGCTGTTAAAAAGAGATAACTGAACAAATTTACTCATATATTATTGATTCGGTTTGGTTTAAAGTAGTATTTAAAGCAAGAAGATTATTGGATGCTATTAATTATAGTAGGTAAATAATAGATATTCGCGAGCGGCCGCCGACCGCCGTCACTGATCGGCTGCCGCGGTCGCGACACGGAAAGTGAATTAGTGGGACGGTACAGCTGCCGCCGTCGCTTCCCATTGCTACATTAACACGCCACTTGGATATCTATGTCGTTAGCATAGCAGTATAATAGCCGATGTGATTGCCTCTCTATAAGGACAGACTCGACCGCATAAAAAGAACAAATGACTACATATGTCCTTATATATGTACAAGTATGTTACAAATGATCTTTTTGCACGCTATTTAAATACGGGTGTATTTCAAAGCAGGAAAAGCAATTAAAACTACTTCTAGGTGGCATACCGAAAAAAATGAATACACAATCTTCAGGAACACAACTATGGATTTCGCATGCAACTTGGTGTAGTAGTTGTTGTATGATGCCGGTACGAACATACAGACAGATAGATAAAATTTCTGAAAACTGTTGTTTCGGTTTCTATTAAATATCTTCCCATGTACAGACATTGTCAAGTTACGATTTCATTATTAGATGTGGAAGTTTGAAAAGATGTTTAGATATTCGTTACTCAATCACGCTTAAACGAATTTCAATGTTTGGTACACGAGTAAGTTACTTCTTAACTTAATACATAGGATATTTTATAGACTGATTCGCGCGGGCAAACGGTTATAGAGAACCGCGGGAAACGAAAAACCTCGTGTCACAATTACGGTATGTGTTCACGCTAATCTCCGATATTGCATAACCAATTTTAATGAAATTTTGTAAATATATAATATAATATTGTTTGTTCCAACTTCAGTGATAGAACAGTTTTTATGTCATTAAGTGACCCATGGGAGGCAAAAAACTTTTACTGGGTCAGCTAATCAAACTATATATATAGTTAATATATTTAAACAGGCCTGAGCGAGAATTTGCACAAAAAGGCGAAGCAATGAGGATAATGTGGACCAAGGAAGTTGTAATAATTCTTTGTAGATCTTTCACGCTTAAACTTTTTTACGTTTACGAACAAAAATTTAAGAATTAGGGAAAATAAAAATCCGATCAGGTGCGAGTTGAACTCACACGCCGAGGGTGCCGCACCAAAATACCTACACAAAATATGAGACAAAATTACCTTTATTGCATTTATCATAAAAAGTAGATACCTAATAGTTATTATTTTGATACTACAACTCGTAATTTCTTAGTTTGGGCCATTGTTTTGTTTAATCAAAAATAATTAGAAAATATCAAAAAAACCTTTTGATCTTCTTTGATATTTTCACAGAGACGGTTCTAATTAGAAATTTTGTTTTATTTTTCTTGTACTTACTATATTATCTTTATAAATTATAATTATTACAGAAACTTCGGAGATAGGGGGGGGGAAGGTAGTTTTTTTTTACATTATCCGTCGTAAGTAAAAAACTACACAACACATAAACAAAAATGAGTTTAAAATGTACAGATAAAGTCATTTCATATAATACCTCACTTAGATTAAGAGGTCAATTTTGAAATTTTGAACTCTCTAGTCAAGGAAATAAAAGTATGCATACATAATATATATACATATCCATCACGGCTCTTTCAGGGTAAACAGAAATAACGGAATGCCTAATACCTCCTTCGCTTCCTCCCTTTTGTGAAACATAATCTTTAATTATATTTATCCATTCTTCTCTCTAATCACACTATTTCTCACTCTATCTAAAATAAAAACATTTTATGGATTATTTCCATTGCAGTGTCTGTAGGCCAATAATAATAATATTAAAAATATTACAAATTACAAATCGATAAAACACAAGTATACGAGTATATATACGAGTAATGCCCGCGACTTCGTATATAGTCGAGGTAAAGCGCTATGACTGATGGCCGGACAGTCGGACAAAATCGCATCCTAAGAGATTCTGTCTATCGTTTTGGATCCAAACTCTGAAAACGTTTATTCACTCGTTCTGGAGCTTACTCCGCTTTTAGCTGAATAAAAAACAAAACA